CACCCTCCAAGGAAAGGCTAACACAGCAGCACTGGTAGATGTCACCTGCAGCCGTCTTCCCTGCCAAGCGCCTGCGGAGCAGGCTGGTGCATACAGACTATGTGGTGGATGGTACTGAATGCCATTTTGAATGCGAGTTCTGTATCTCCATGGGATTCTTAACAGACAATTATTACAGTCACTTAATGAAAACGTTCATGGGGACTGTGCATCCTGGCCACTTTCTCATTTCCCCTGTGATGCATATTGGTTCCAGGAAGGAATTTTTGCAGGTACTAAACTCCAACTTGACTTGTGGTAACTAGTGACAAAATATCTACTATTACTAAGTTGCAAATGGGGGCTTAAGCGGTTTGTTTTCAATCATAACTAGTTCCCTGGCTGTATGTTTAGTTACGCAAGATGCACTTCAATAACAGTGATGTGTACGTACAGGCTTGCTTCAATCAAGTTCCTTCTTTTTTAGTTGCTAGGTGTAATTTAGTGCCTAGGTGATGAAGCCGAACAATTTAAGCTATTCCTTAATGTCCTCTCTATTCCATAGTGCCATCCATGGGCATAGGTTGTTTCATACTGGCTTTTGGTTTTGTTCTACAATTGCTACTTTGGAGTTGCTGTTTATTTAGGGTCAGACTGGGAGCACTTTGTTGTACTCCACTAAATGTAAAGTTGGCAGTACATATTGAGACTTCTCCCAGAAAATCACTCTGGTTTTTAACAGAATGACTGTTTTAATTAAATGAATTAATTCCACTTTTGGCAAAGGTTTCAGTTAAATGATGGGTGAAATACTAAGCTTTAGTCACTGACAAGATTCTACCAGAAGAACAAAGATGAAAAGCATGTTCTTAATCATGTTTGGTTTATATTTAAGTTGGTATACATCTGAATGTGTGTGTGTGGGATCCAAAATGAAGCCTACTAGAACTTAAATTTATAATGAGTTTGAACTTACCTTACTGATCACTGGCTGCTATGATCTTTAAAAAAAAAAAAAAAAAAAATCAATCTAATGTAGCATTCAATCTTACGTGTGCCAAAGCAATGCTTGAAGTCAGCAGTAGCTGTTGGGTCTCTACCACTCTGGCAGCACGGTTACTTTTTTCTGGAAAACACTGATGTTCATCAAAGAAAGCCAGCAGGTATATGTTTCTACTTCACATACAGTTAGATATTCTCATAG